GCATTTATTTTCTAAACTTAGACAACGCGGGGGATTTAATCCGAATCCAACTGCAAGATTAATCCGATATTTTCTTAGACACATCCTTTCTACAGGATATATTCAAACGAGCGACAAAGGTAACGTTCAATGTCCAGAAAGCGAGACTCTTATTAATCAACCGAGTCATATCGTAAAAATAGTAGAAAAATCTATAAATATAAATGATTGTTCTACAGAACATGTGTATGAAGACCCTGAAAGCGAATTATTTGTGGAAGATGTAATGTTTGTTGAGGAATATTTTAATACAGAAGAAAATACAATTTCACTTAGTAATTATGATGAAAATGCTATCGCATTCTTTGCTGGATTTGTAGCACGTCGAAGTATTGGTAAAAGCAATTGCGAGAATTGCCGCGATGATATGACAAAAACGCCAATGGATAATATAACAGCAAATGAAAAATATATTGAATTTCGTGAATATCCAAATGAAGACGAAGATGCTCCAACAGTGACAACATTAATGAGACCAACTACTGTTTTTACCGATATCATAAAAATACAGTTAATGACGTTTAATCGTATGTGGCAAAATTATTGGGCATCAAATAATGTTCGGAAAAATATTGTAAGTGAATGTGTACATACCACGAATAAAACCCATGCTGAATGGTTTAATACTAATCATAAATGTTACAATCATCGAATAGAAGCATTGCAATATTTGATAACTGAAAAATATACTCTCAGACAAGATACAACAATAATGCTGAACGTGCAGAGAAAAAGAACAAACAGAAAGCTTCGCGTAGAAAAATGAAAAACCTATTAAACAAATAAAAAATAACGTTACAGTAAATAATAAGAACAAATCCGTAAAAAGAAAATAGAATAATAAAAACCTTGCACCATTTTATAATAACGTATAATTAATGATGTATAAATATAAATAAAGTTATGTAATAAAAAATGAAGAATGAATAAAATAAGATAGAAAACAGACATTTCAAGAAATCTACAGATAAGTAGTGAGACATTTTAAAAACTGCATTTCAATAATGCAGAATGCGCTTATGCGTACGGCGCAGGACATTTTACTGATTTCACTGCGCACACCGCAGAATATCTTTTCATATATTAATTCACTGCGTACACCGCAGAATATCTTTTCAGATATTAATTCACTGCGCACACCGCAGAATATCTTTTCAGATATTAATTCACTGGCGCACACCGCAGAATATCTTTTCAGATATTAA